TGTCCGGGAAGGGAGAGGCGTGTTCTGGCAGTTTTCAAAATATTTTCATAAGGAATTTTCTGTTAAAATGAAGGAATAATTCATCTATTTTTGCTGTTTCCACATTTGCAGCAACCGACATTTAATTTTTTTCAGTAAAGATATTTTAAAAATGACACCTACAAAAATCATTTTGCAAATATATTTTTGGAAAATGGTTACTATTATATTAAAAAAGATTTTTCCACATATTCCCATAAAATCTCCTTTTTTAATGTCACCCAATGAAAATTTTTAAAATCCTCGAACTGAGCTGTCCGTTCTTCAAGATATTCCAAGCAGTTGTTATAAAATTTCTGACTCCTTTCAGAAAATCTGGTCATTTAATTACATCTTGTTCTTTTAACCTAGTGATGTCCTTTCGAATAACTAAATAAACATGACCGTTATCAATTCTTTATCGCAATTTTGTTTTCAATTGATTTCATTTGACACTTCCGTAATTGAAATTTTGTCCCCTTCAATAATTTTCACAGCATTGTGAAATAATATAGCTTGGTTGTGGATGAATTGAAGCCAAATTTGTGATGTGTCATTTTCAAAAAAGAGCTACAATATTTTTGGACATTTATCTTGTGATGAAAAGTATAATTTTAATGGTTCGTATATTTTTAAAATATTTTCTACAGCTGGTAAAAGAGCTAGCCATCATGTTTTGCAGCAACTAATAATTTTTTAATATTCGATTTTTGCACTTTCATAAAAATCCTTCGTACTTTCAACACGCACAGTATATATAAAAATACGAATAAATTTTTGCAAAAATATTTCAACATCCACTGGAAGTAAGTCAGATACTGTTTGAATAGTATTGTGTAGAATGTGCGCTGCACAACTTACTCCAATAATTTTTTGATTAAAATGTTCGTTAAGTTTCAAAAAAACGTTATTGATGCCTCTTCAAGCTTTACCACCACAATTTGCATTAGTGTTATCCTCACAATGGGCAATAATTTTATTGTTCAAATTATTCTTTTTTAAAATAGTACTTATTGAATCAATATATGAATAAAATTATTTGTGAAGTTTCACCTGGCAATGAAACAAAATCTAATATTTCAATTTTAATTCCTGTTTCTGGATCAAAAAGTCTAACAATTATGGAAAATAATTTTAAATCTTTGTGGTTGGAAGCATCATAATATATGGATATAAATGTCATTTATCTAATTCTTTCTGCAGTTGTGAAAACGAATATAATGAAAAAACATTACAAATAATTGCTTCGGTTTTTGCCCTTGCACATGCAAAATTTTTGTTGTACAATGTTTTGATCATTTGCGACATACAATCAATTGATCTGAAACTTTGATTATGGTTTATGGTGTGGAAAACAAATAGCTCTTCAGCTAATGCTAGCTGTTCCTCCGTTAACAATACATATTCCTTGACAAGACGTAATGTTAATGATCGAACACCACTGAGTAAATCTAACTCCTTACATCACCTAATTTAGATTACTCTGAATGCATTTTATGTGTTTTTCATTTATGTATTTTTTATTTTTTATATTTACATATAATTAAAAAAATAGGTAATATATTTTTACAGTAATTTAAAATAAGAAATGCAGATATTTTCTAAAAAGTGGAACATTTTTAAAAATCAGCGGGACATGGGACAGTTCTCCAAAAAGCGGGACTGTCCCGCCAAAATCGGGACGTGTGGTCACTTTACTTTATATGCTTTGAGTTTATTTTACTTCAATCCTGCAACTATAGGGTTTAAAACATTTTCGGCTGATCTTTAGAATATGGTAACTGGTAGTTTGGCGACATTTTGGAGGCGATAAAGGTTACTACCTGGGACTTTGGGTAATAATGTGAGAAGTACTCAGTTCCCATTACGCGTTATTTTGTGTGAGGGAAATGAGAGATCATGAGATATGTCATGTGTCATTAATGGACGAATTACAGTTCTTTAATCGGAAAAGGGGGTAAAAATTTGGAAAAATATCTGTAGTACTACATTATTTTGTACTAAGCTTCATTGTATGTTGTGTGAAAGAGTGTTGATTAATTTTGGAATGCATGGCGCTATCTAAAGTGAATTCTAAATTTTTAATGCGTTTATTTAATTCAAAAGAATGGTTGAATGGTGTATGAGTGTAGGATTAATTGCGGATAAGTATGAATGTCCAACATGTGGGAATGAAAGAGATTGTGTGAAAGGAAGGATATTACAGATAAGTTTGAATGGCGGTGCAGAAATCTGGTGAAAATGGACATTTTGTGAAAGGAGTGTAAGAAACGTGGTTTGCTGAAAGTCTGAGTATGGGGGAAATTTTATTAATTTCTTATTAGTGGGTGAATAGAATGCCAGTTGACTACTGGATTATTTAATCTATAAGAAAAGTTTATCCGCCACGTAATCAAGATTCTAGAAGATTAGGTAAGTTAGTATTTTTAATATTTGAGGATATTTTTTTATGCATTGTTCTAAATGTAAGGAGTAAATAAATTAATATGGTATTATTGGAAAATTGTTATTAGCAATGATTTAGTTTAAAGTAATTAGGATTGTAAGCTAATTTTTATTAATTTAATGTATGTGCTTATTTATATTTTAAGTAGTGTTTTTTAATTTAATTATATTTTAATTAAATGATAGTTATTTTGTGAATTATATGTTTGTAGGAATTTGGTATACGTTTCAGTGGAAGTAAACGTGCATGGAAATAATTTAAGTATTTGCAACCATTTTTAATGTTTGCATTATGAATTTGTTGGTGACGTTTATAATAGATAATTTAGAGGTAAAAGTTTTTGGATATTTTATTTATTTTATACGTGCAAATGTTCATCCTTGGAAAGGGTATATACTTTTTCGTGATCAGGTAATTTCATATATATGTTTTTTACCGGATTTGAAGATTCACAAAATTTTCATGCATTTTTGTGAAATTTTTCTAATTTATGAGAAAAAAGCAGTGTACATGGATATAGTGAAGAGTGTGCGCAATGCCATTTTTGTGCAATTCTGAGATGTTTTTTTAAGTAAAAAATAAGTCGACGTGTACATGGTTTAAGTTATATTTTAATTAAATGATAGTTATTTTGTGAATTTATGTTTGTAGCAATTTGGTATACGTTTCAGTTGAAGTAAACGTGCATGGAAATAATTTAAATATTTGACACTAAGTATTTGTAACCATTTTTAATGTTTGTGGTATAAATTCGTTGGTGACGTTTATAATATAATAGATAATTTAGAGGTAAAAGTTTTTGGATATTTTATTTTATTTTATACATGGAAATGTTCATCCTTGGAAAGGGTATATACTTTTTCGCGATCAGTATTTCATATATGTGCTTTTTACCAAGTTTAAAGATTCACAAAATTTTCCTGCAAATTTTTGTAATTTATGAGAAAATAGCAGTGTAGATCAAAGTAAAGTGTGTGCAATGCATTTTGTGCAATTTGGGATGTCAGGTGCTTTTAGTTTAAAGATTCACAAAAATTTTCCTGCATTTTCGTGCAAATTTTTATAATTTATGAGAAAATAGCAGTGTAGATGGATAAAGTTAAGAGTGTGTGCAATGCCATTTTTGTGCAATTCTGGGATGTTTTTTTAAGTAAAAATAAGTCGACGTGTACATGGTTACTGTGTATGTGTGATTCTGAAAAACGCGGCAAGGAGTTTGCGATTCTGCACTTTTTCCCAATTTTGCAGTTAATATTTGTCATGATTAAGCAGTTTTGTTCCATAAAATTTCTAGCATAAGTGTAATTCGGCTAGCAGATTGTTGGAAAAAGTGTTCAGTAAATAAAAAGAAAAGAAACATGTCTTTACTTCGTGAAGACAAAATGGCGGCAAAAAAAAAAAAAAAAAAAAAAAATAGAGGGTTGCTGTAGCAGAGTTGGTCGCCAAATTTTCGCCAAAAAATTGCCAAGTTACCATAATTCAAAGATTAACCATTTTGCTTTTAATTTTTAGCTTATTATTATGTTTCTTTGTGTATGGCTCTGGTGTAGAAATATTCTCAGGAGAGAACATAATTTAGAAATGACATAAAATTTAAAAATATATTTTAATGTAAAAGTCTTATCAAAACCAGTGCTTGCATGTGACAGCCACTTCAAATCATTTAACAGTTTCTATTACAAAATGGTTAGAATTAAGATTAAGTCAACAACCTAAATATGTGAACCTTTATACAGGTACAAAAAGTTTCATTTTAAATTTCTTTAAATACTTTGAAGAGCTAAAGGTAATTGTATTTGTTTTATAACAGAAGTTAAATCATCATTGCACAGAGTTATGATGAATAATCAAGCAGACTATTCAGCTAAGTTCTTTAATTATTCACTGAAAATAATTTTTTTAGCAACAGATTCAGAATCTTGACAGAAGTGAAAAATTTTATTACATGCATTTTGCAGTGCAACAGGATATATTATACTTTTAATAATTTTTCAATAGTGAACCACAAATAAATTTGAAGTAAACCTATTAAAACAAATGTCAATGATATATTCAAAAGGTTCATCATTTATCAAATAGTATGAAATTTGAAAAATGCAAACATCAAACAAATCTATAATATTATAAATAGTGGAAGATATTTTTCAAATGAAATTCTTTTTACATATTTAAAACGTTTCTTTTAATTTCCAAATTTCACGACGTTAAAAAAGAGGCATTAAATAGAAAACATACCAGATTTCAAACTTTTCTCAAAAGTTGACTAAAACCACCTATTCTGAATATATATATATATAATATAAATATAAATTATTACATAAAAAACAATTTATAAAACATAAAAAATGAATAACTATAAAAAACACAAAGTAAAATTACAATATATAAATACAAAATTTAAGATAACAATGAACAGAAATAGTCATCCGCAAAGGATAAAAATAATAAAAAAATTTTCTATGATGATAAGATTCAAAACATTCTTCAGGAACCATAATATTTCGCTTTATATCTAAAGTATATAATGGAATTTTACCTTGATGCACAGCAACATTACAACCTTGCCCATCACAATAAACAAGGGGATTCTCAGTCCAACCACGCTCGTCGGAGCATACACAACATCCCCCAACCATCTCCTTCATATTGTAGAAAAATCCTAAGTTAAAATATGCATCGTCCGAGAATGCTGCATCTCTTAGGAAAAGAGGAAGCACTCTTTCAGTTCACAATTTCTCACTTTCAAAACAAAGAGTACCAAACAAAAGAAACATAACTTGCACCCCCCACAATCACATTCAATTCCATTCTTTTCGATAACTCATCTCAAGAAATAGCCGCGCCGAGGCGAAATGAGCGACGGGAGCGCTTTTTAGAAAACCGTTATATGCCGCTGCCTGAGGTAAATTACATTTTAATATTATCAGTTAGCACAGTTTCATTTCAACATACCCGTAAATTGTAAGAATACAAATACTTTAGTTAATTTAATTCTTTTAAACATATATCCGAATTTTGCCAGCATTATTTTTGAAACATATTTAATAAAGATTTCTCCAAACAAGGAAGAAGAAGGAATAAGAAGAAAAAAATGGAACAAAAAAAAAATATTAATTAAAAACCTAAAACATTTTGCTGTCCTTAAAAATAGTACCTGTATTTTTATAAGGATACCTCCAAAAGACTGGCTAAAAAAACCTAATGTGAACAAATTTTCATAATAAAACGATTTAGAAATGACTTTTTTTTTTTTTTTTTTTTTTAAAGAATATGGAAAATAATTTTCTTAAAGATTTGTTTGTATAATTTAAATATTATATTATTATCTTTATGTTTAATAAGAAAGAGAAGGAAGGAAAGAAAAGAAGTAACATATATGCTGGTGTCCATACATCGCAGTTGCTAAAGAAAATAATCTGCTAGAAAATACCGAAATTGTGTAATAACAGATAAGTAACAATATAAGATATAAGATACATAAATGTACGGGAACTTTTTTTTTTCTGAAAATACATATATATAATATTAAAATACATAATATTTCTGAAAGTATTTTTTATAATTTTCTCAAATATTTTTAGATAGAGATGAGGATCTCGCATTTCATCGCCTTGCCTGTAAGTTAACAACAACTATTAAAATCCTGACATTTACGGAAACTGATAGAAAGTTACTTATACTTTATAATAAAATATCAAGGAGGTTAGAATAGAAGGAGGGAGGGTTCGCAGTTTCTTCCACTATCGGGGAATAAAACTCCACCTAACAATCGGCGTCCATGTTTGTAACTTCAAAACATTGCATTACGGCAGTGAAATGTACAGTCGGTCACAAAAGTATTCGAACACAGGTATCCTATCAGAAAATGACAAGATGGAGTTTTTTTCTCTCTCTCTCGTGTTATTCCATCCTAGGTCTTCTTCTTTCCCCATCTTGGAAAATACTGAGAAATGCTCACGATCTCTCTTTGAATTTGGACGCCATTTTGAGAAAAGCGGACGACCCCATCTTGGAGAACGGAAATGACCGCTCACCACGCCTCGCACTCTCTTTGAATTAGGACGCCATTTTGGGAAAAAGCCTACGACCCCATCTTGGAGAACGGAAATGAATGCTCACCACCTCTCTCTCTCTCTTTGAATTGGGAAGCCATTTTGGGAAAAAGCAGACGACCCTATCTTGGAGAACGGAAATAAACGCTCACCACCTCCCCCCTCTCTCTTTGAAATGGGAAGCCATTTTTGGGACCTTGGAAGTCTGCACCCCGCTGTTTCTGAATTCGGAAGATGAATTCGGAGATGGGAGATTCCTCTTTCGTTTGCTGAGAGTCAAATAAATTCCTATACAGGTTCTGAAAGAGAGGATTCGATATCATGCTTGAAAGAAACGGTTCCTCGATGAGTTGGTAAATGCGGAATAAATTTCGCACAATGTCATGCCTGAAATATTTTCAGGTGGGTGATATGCGTGAGCGACTTCAAATCCTCTATACCCGAAATCGGTTGAGTTGGAAAAACATCTAACAGCGACATGGCTCCCAATTGAATATAAAAATAGATCTCGCTCAGTGCTCTCGCCTTTTTATATACACACAGAGTCTCTATGATGTCATAGTTTCATTTTTTTTTTGTTTATATATATCTTTTCCAAGAAATCTCATCTCCCTGACCTATGTTTTTGAGTGGGTTAGAATGAGGAAGTGAAAGTAATAATTAACCAACCATGACCTTCCTATTCTTTTAGTTACCCTTTCTATTCCAAGGACGTCCAGAGATATAGAGGAAGAAGGGAGAGGAAGGGGGGGTCTATATATATATATATATATATATATATAAATAGAACAAGAGAGCCAAAAAGTCGTATTTTGGGGGGGGGAAGTCGATCATCATGAGGAATCCCCAGCTCACCACGTATATCCCTTTAAAATATAAAAATTTTGAACTTTCCTTTTATATCATCCAAGGAGTTATTAACTTGAAAGCCTCCGATTTTTCAAAATGTGCGGGTTATCATATCGTGGGTAGCTACCACAAGATGCGGGATCAATTTCTGGCCGACGAAAGAGTTTTCACGACACGTGAAATTTTTACTTTGGATACACAAATTTTGTCGATGAAATGAGCCAAATATCACCACACAATCCACACAAATATTACACATCTACCTTTCTAACCCTCCCGCAAATGAAAAGTATCATGAATCGTCTTGAAAAGAAAAAAAGGATTCTCGTTCATTTTAGCGACTGGTTGCACCTACTGAAAAATTTCTGCACGAAACTCTCTCGATCGTGAGGCCTGGAAAGAATCCATATTATATTCTCGAGGAGAATCATCTGAACGAGTTCACAACTTTTCAAAAAATTATCGAGCAGGAAAAAAAATGGTTGAAAAGCTACCCCATCATGAGGAGGAGGCGGGGGAGCCTGTTCAGAAGAAAAAAGTCTTTCCAAAAAAAGTCTATCATCATCCATGAGGACGAGGAGACGAAGGAGTCTGTTCGGATTCTTCTCCTCCCTTTGTCAAAACCCCTCGAGGATGAAAAACCACTCAATTTGTCAAAACCCCTCGAGGATGAAAAACCTCTTAATTTATGAAGACCCCTCGAGAATGAGGGACCCCTCGAAGAGGAAGGACCTGTCCTCCCTTTGTCAAGACTCCTCGAAGAGGAGGAACCTCTTGATTTGTTAAAACCCTCCGAGGATAAGGGAACCGAAACTTCTCTCCCTTTGTCAAGACCCCTCGAGGATGAGGGACCGCTCAATTTCTCAAGACAGGAATCCTCTATATATCTTGAGGATCAGAGAGAAACCATTCCTACTGAAAAACAATCTATGGACGATCCTCAGAAAAGAACCTTTGATGAGACTAGGCTTCCATTCAGAAAACGACTCTGCAATAATACACCCTCTCCTTCTCAAAAGGATCCTATATAATTTGCAGATAAATGCATTCAAACCAAACCCTTTATAGTAAGCCTTTTGATTGGAGAACCGTGCATTAGCTTCGAAAAAAATGAAATTCCACAATGTTTCTATGACAGTTTAGGAAAAAGGAAGGAAGGGGGAGTAAAAAACTTGTGAAAGTCAATGGGTATGTCTGGCTCAGAATTAAAAAAAATAATAAATAAATAACCGAAAGACTATTCTTAAAAAACATGGTGATGTCTCTTGGATTGAGTCGGCTGGGAAAAATTTCTGAGAGCCGAGAAATAATTCTCTAGTTCAAATTTAAAAAAAGAAAACTTTTGTCGCATGTTCCCTCCCTATCTCTCCCGCCCTCTTTCTCTGGGAATGATGTCTCACCCTTTCTAAAAATAGATTTCTAAAATAGGAATGAGGCATATCTTTCTTGGAAATTGGTTTTAGAAACATGTTGAAACATATTGAGACCTGATTCAAACCAAATAAGGATGGGGATAGTTAATTTTTATCATGTCTAAAGACATGATAAAAGTTAACAAAAGGTTTTTTTTAATATCTGAGTCAGAGAATTTTTTTTCTCGGCTCCCAAATTTTTTTCCCAGCCGACTCGATCGACAAGACGTCACCATTTTTTTTTAAAAAATGAACTCTCCCTCATCTATTTAAGAATTCCAAGTTTCGCTTCAAAACCATCTGTGCTGTTGAAGAGGTAACGTTATATTTTTAGGAGTTCTGTCAAAATTGAATTATGCATGATCGACCTTGCGAATTTCTTCTCTGTGTCTTTAAATAATAATGATACCGAACCACTTTTTGTAGAGCGCAATGGAAAAAACCTTTTGTATGGTTAGGACAATTCATTCGTTCGATCCCATTGTATTTGAGAATCTCTTGCGTCGATCCTGAAATGCGACAAATGGATCTTTGCAACCCTTTCTCTAAAAACCGCCGTTTCGTTTCTCCTCGCATCAAACGACGGAAAAGAGTTCTGTCAACATAGTTAACACCCATGGGAAATAACTGTACGGAATGTCTCCTTCGTACCACAAGCTGTGATAATAATCACTCGCACACAAAGCGGTTCGTTTTTCTTTTTCGGTGAGCATTTTCCATGGAAACGGGAGTTTGAAAACAAATACCCCTCGAGAGGTGCCGTCCAACGTGACGTAAGCCAATTCTTTCACAATAAAGGATCCCTGAGAATCGTAGAAACTTTCAAAGTCGAGCACGAGTTCATGTTTTTTTCTTTCTTTCCAAGGTGACCTTTATTATTGTTGTATTGAGATGCGCACGATAACAAAAAATGTGATCTTTTCCTAGGATTCATACGACCTGTCACGTGCTCCCTTGCCTATCTCTCTATAAAAGAGGAGATCGCAGAGAGAGCGCTATCCTTTTTTCTTCAGGACACACACAGAGAGAGAGAGAGAATTTTTTTTCAATGAATATGGACATCATGAGTGCCAAACCTCTCAAAGGTTCCTACATTGTTTTGCATACATGGAGTCCTTTGTCTGCCATGATCAGAAGACTGGAGATATATGTTTCATCTTGAAAGAGCTGGGCTACATCACCTATGATTTAACTTTATGCGGATCCATGGTTTTCTCCCTCCTGTCCATCACGATGACTTATCGTCCCGCAATCGAGCTGCGGTCAACCAGACCATGCGGAACCGACACGGCCTGCAATGGACCGAGGGTCGTCTTTCCTACGAGCATCTGCCTACGATCCTGAAAATGCTGACCGAAAATGTGGAGGCGATCTACGTCAATGGATACGATAAAGCCGAATTCTTCAGCAAGCTCTGTCAGCGGCCCGTTTACGAGTTTTACGTCCCGGGGAAAACCGAGTGGCGATACAAGACGAAATGCACGCGACACCAATTTTTCCGCAAGCAGCATCTGATTCATTGTGCCGAAAACAAGGTGAAGAATTTTCGATACCATTTGAAGGAGGGCAGTTACGTTTTCCAGAAACT